GTTTCAAATTACATTTTATTTATTTATTTATTTATTTATTTATTTATTTATTTATTTATTTATTTAGTGTGTATGTGTGTGTGCCTGTCTGTCTGCCTGCCTGCGTATGAGTGTGGACATGCATGTGCCCCTCATGAATGTGGAGGTAAGAGGCCACGAGGGAGGAGTCTGTCCTCTCCTTCCATCATGTGGGTTCTAGAGATTGAACTGAGGTCATCAGATGCCTTTACCTAAACATGGAGCCATCTCACTTCCCCTGGTTATTTTTTACTAGTCCATAATGCAAAACAGCAGTTCCTTCTAACGCCTCCTCATTTCTGAAGAGTTTCAGTTCCTCCTGAACTCTTTCTAGTCTTTTATCCAATTAGGAATTGGCTTTTCCATTTTATTTACTATGGAAGATTACATTAGCCCTCCTGTATGCCTCACCAACTCAATGTATACCTGATGTTCACTATCTGTTCATTTCTAACACGTTCTTTGGATTCTTCTGCCTGTGTGGTTCCAGTGGGAAGAGGTTGTCTCCTGGTCACATTTCCTTTCTAGAGTTAATCCCTTTTATCTTGACTGTCTCTGGGCTGACCTTTGTTTGATAGTTCTGATTTGACAGAGCGTTTCCTGCCCATTAACATGGTCAGCTATTAAATGATAATGATCATTATGATTCTTCTTGGGCCCTGAGCTGCCATGCCAGCCTGACCCCTCTGATCCCTTCTTCCCCAGCACACATGTCCCATGTTCCATGTCATTCCTTTAGGACTCAGTCGTTCAGGGAGGGGAGCCAAGGGTCAGAGCACGCTGCCCATTCCTTCTACCATTCTCCAATGTTGTAGAATATTATTTTCAGCTGTGTTACTTTTGTTTATGTTGCATTTGTTTAACTTTGTGAAGCTGTGCTACTGTGCCTGTCTAAAACACCTGATGGTCTAATAAAGAACTGAATGGCCAATAGCAAGGCAGGAAAAAGGATAGGCAGGGCTGGTAGGCAGAGAGAATGTATAGAAGGAGAAATCTGGGAGGAAAGAAAAGGAGCCAGAGAAGGAGGAGGACTCCAGAGGCCAGCCACCCAGCTCCACAGCAAACTACAGAGTAAGAGTAAGATTTATAGAGTAAGTAAGAGAATGGGAAAAACCCAGATGCAAAAGGTAGACTGGATAATTTAAGGAAAGCTGGCAAGAAACAAGCCAAGCTAAGGTAAGTAAGCATTTATAAGTAAGACTAAGCCTCCATGTGTGATTTATTTGGGAGCTGGGTGGTGGGCCCCCAAAAGAGTAAAAACAAATAACAACACTCCAAGGCCTTCCTTTTTTAAACCTTCCTGTACTATAGAGTAACACTATGTACCATTTGCATAAGCCCAAGAGCCAAACACTCATTTTTCCTCCATTCTTGCCCATTGCTAGTGAAGCCATGAGCAACTCAAGCTGCTTCTAAATATATTCTCATCACTACCCACTTTCAATGCACCCACTATTCTCCTCCCTGTTTCCACCATTTCTCACCTCCCATGTCCATTCTTCTATAGCAGCCAGAATACATTTTTATTTTTAAGCACAAGACATGATGTATTTAAAAACGCTCTTCCCCTCCAATGCTTATCATTCTACTTAGGGTAAAGGTTAAGATTCCACACAGTACATGGCACTTTGGCCTGGGGTGACACTTCTGCCTATATATTCGTGTCACCAGGGATCGTTTGAGAAGCTCTAAGTCTGGGCTTGATTAAATAAGAATATGTGGGGAGGTGGCCCAGGCTTCAATATTTTAAAGCTTCCCTGGTGAGTCTAATGGGTGTCCAGAATGGAGACCCACACTCCTCTCCTACCCTCATGGTGCCCTCTCCCAGTCTCCTTCTCTGACCTTGAGCTCTTTCTGTCTTTGGACAGAATTCCTGCCTCATATCCTTCTCACTGGATGCGCTCCTGTGTGGAAGTTTCTTTCCTAGTCATTTTCCTGCCTGGCTTCTTTTAGTTTCTCAGACTGATCTGAGATGATCTTTGATCATCTTATGGCTTCAAACACCCTACATCCCCAGACACTCTCTGAGCTCGTCATTTTAGTTCTGTGTTCTCAGCTCATTTATGTAATAAATGTTGTGATAATCAATACTTGCTCTCCACAGCTTGGTATTTGTTGAGCTACCGCAGAGGGAGAAGAACCAGATAGGGACACCTGTTAGGTGGAAGCCAGAAAATGCAGTAGCTCACAGGACCAGCCAGCCCCTGGACAGGTGAATGAAGCGGGCAAATGGTAGAGTCTTGACTGATGACAATTATTTAGAGATAGATAAAGTGAGTAAATTCACCTGTAGCATTAGGAACTTTGATAGTTTCAAACGAGAGGAGATATTTTTATCATGGATTGGGGACAGTCCCCAAGAAACTGAAATGCCTTCTTACCCCAGAAGTGCAACCCATCTTGCCACGGTGGCTGGAACTTATTTTTGGAGATTCATTTCACTAAAGTGTAGCTAAGACTCACCCTCTGGCCTGTCTGCCCCCCCCCCCCCCATCCCGCTTCCTCCTGTTGTGATTACTTGATAATTTTGGAACATGCCTGCCATTTCTTACTCCCTGGTCTGTGCTTGGCTACAGACCACTTCCTGATACACCGCCCATGGCCTCTTTGCTTCATGCTGTGTTCCCGAAACCTAACAGCAAACTCTATTTAATTAAGACTGTTTAACACTAACTGTTGAGGATTAATGGGAAAACTGTGTTCTTGTTTGTATTGCAACCCAGGTTTATGATATAGGAATAGCAAACACCTGTGATCATAGCCTTGGGACTTATTAGCAGTCATTAGTAGCTGCATTCTTAGCGTGCTGGCACTAGGAATGTGATCAAGCTCCCTGATGTAGATTAGGTGCTTACCGTATTTGTTGCCAAGGAAAATGAGTGTTCACTTTGACAAGTCCAGAATAATAATTTTGTGCTTTTTTCCCTAGCAGTTATACATACACCATGATTCTAGAGAGAAGCTAGAAGGGTTATATGGAAATCTTTTTCCCCTCAAGATAACAGGTCTAGGAAACATAATTTTGTGATGAATGGCTGTGTAAAGCACCATTTTCATGCATGCAGATACATTCTTCCGGGGAAGCGGGTCCAAGTCTATATTGTGATTTCTTAGTTTTATATGGCTTGAAAAGTGAAAACTGCCTCAACTGTTCTTTCTCAGCAAAGCCTCCAGCTCTGACCTTTATCCATCCAGGGTGATGTGGATGCCAGCCATTCACACAAAACTGTTTTCGTATCTTAGCAGAACCAAAGACAGCCATTCACACAAGACTGTTTTCGTATCTTAGCAGAACCAAGAGTATGAAAGGGCATAGACTGCTGAGTCATGGGAGGAATGTTCAGTGTATTCAAGCCTAACCTGATTGCCTGCACATTTGCTTCCTAAATTGAGGCCGGTTTTTTGTCAAGAGATCTTTTTCTCAACCATGTAACCTTGATGCAGACTGTAATTCCATACCAGGGCCCTACTCCCATGCCCTTTGTGACACATAGCAAATTCTTTATATTTTTTAGTTTCACTGATAATTTAAAATTTGTGAAAGTGTTATTTAATCTGTAACCAAAGAGGTAATCTCAATTTTCTACTTGTAACACACAAAAACAGAGATTATGAAACTATTTTCTGGTTGATATCTTTTTTTTGTTTGTTTGTTTTTACTCTTCTCTGATACATTACATCCTGACCAAAGCTTCCCTTCCCTTCAGTTCCCCCCAACCCCCAGATCTACTGCTTCTCCATTTCCCTTCAGAAAAGAGCAGGCCTCCCAGGGACAGCAGCAGCCCAACACAGCCTAACAAGATGCAGTAAGACTGGGCACAAACCCTCCTATCAGGGCTGGGCAAGGCAACCCAGCAGGAGGAGGAAGGCCCCAGGAGGAGGCAGAAGAGTCAGAGACACCCCACTCGCACTGTTAGGAGTCCCCTAAAAACCTCAAGCTAAACAACCACAGCGTGTATGCAGAGGACCTAGTGCAGACCCATGCAGACGCCATCATGGCCACATCAGTCTCTGTGGACCCTTGTGAGCCCTGCTTAGTTGATTCTGTGAGCCGTGTTCTCTTGCTGTCCTCAGCCTCTCTGGCTCCTACAGTCCTCCCTCCCCTTCTTTCTCAGTCTTCCACGGGGTTCTTAGACTGCTCTAGAGGCCTACTAGCAGAGAGGTCTGTAGTTCTAACTATAGAGTGCATCTACTTACTGTCTCCTTACATGATCCTGTTCACAGTAGGATTTCCTGAGGCAAGATGACCAGTGAGTACATTGATGCCTTTGATGGGCGTGGCTATAAGAAAAACCCAGTGTTCAGTTGTTTTTAATATAAAATACTTGTTTACGGGCAACTTAAATGTGGAGTCTGTGATAAATGGGAAAATGTCTGTATATAAATCCCTTCATGGAATTTTATGAAAAAATTAAAACCTGGTATGGTATATGGTGTATTCTTGTCATCTCGGCGCTTGGGAGGCTCAGGCCAGGTCCTCCATGAGAGCAACAAGTGCTCTTAACTGCTGAGTCGTCTCTTCAGCCCCCTCTGTGCAAATTTTAAGTCTTGTGGTTAGTGAGAGAATGTGGCTGTAAAACCGATCTTTACTGGGCAATAAGTGGAATGGTTCACAATCTAAGGCAGTGGTTCTCAACCTTCCTAGTGCTGCGACCCTTTAATGCCATTCCTCATGTTGTGGTGACCTCCCCCACCATAAAATTATTTCCATTCCTCTTCATAAGTGTAATTTTGATTGTCGAATCATAATATAAATATCTGTTTCCCAGTGGTCTTTGGTGACCCCTGGGAAAGGGTCATTTGACCCCAAAGGGGTTGCGACCCACAGGTTGAGAACCGCCTGTCTAAAGCTTCATAGGTACTGATCTTTTGGTGTCCATCTCAGGATTGCTGATGGAACATGTGAGTGTATGTTACTGATGTCCTTTTGTTCTCCCAGAAAACATAATAACATGCTTTGTGTTCTCCCCTCCCCTCCCCAGGCTGGTACAGAGGATATGCTCTCCAGAACAAATCTAAAAAGGTATGACATGTTGTTCCGTTTCTTCGTTCCTTTGACTGCCCGCTAGTTCTCTGTTGCGTTGTGAGATCCCTTTATCTGCTCTCTCTAGAGCTAGTTTGCCTTCCTTTCTGTGACTCTTCCTTTGATCTGAAAACAAAGACATTGGCCCCTGTGCTCCAGAGGAATAGTGTAAGTTCCTTGGATGTGTTTCCTGGGAGCTGATTCAAGAGAAGGCCCCCGACTTCCTGCTGTCTACCCTTCTTGAAGCTGAATAAGGCAGCAGGACAGTGACAGCGCCCTAGGGACCTCTGTCAGGGAGGAAGGGACAGGGCCTACGTCTCCCTTGTGTCCTTTACGTCCAATTCTACACTACCCACACTGATGCTGCCTGTCCCCTGATTCTTCCCATCGAACCAGAGTAGTGACTTCAATCTGTGAGGCCCATGGAGTAACATGGAGTCATTTCAGTAGAGTATAACCAACATGCGTAACAGAGAGCAAAGCTGAACAACAGAGAGACTTAGGACACATGTACCTCGGGTATTAATGTTTACGTGGTTCATGCTTTTCATTGTAGTTTTTGTTGAGTACTAGAGTATAAGCGTGTTTCTTCTGACCCAGGCAGAGTTTGTGAAACCCTGGCCTGGATGGCTTCCTTTCCCATTGTCAGGGCAGCTCATCATCAAACTAAAGAAAGGCTAGAAGCCGCGTCACCATGCTCCTGGATTTGCTTTCGAGCCCATCAGCACTTTTCCTTTGATGGTGCTTGGCTGGGGCAGTGTGATGTGCCAGCACTCTCTTTTGCAAGAACGAAGTTGATAGGGCTTTCTTATTCCACAGTTTGCTCGTGTGACAATAGCAGAGGGTGAGGGAAACACTTGAATTTGTCGGGGCAGAAAGGGTAGAGAAATTCACAGTTTTCACTCTTGGGCCATATCACGGGCCAGACGTAGTCCCACGCAGATTGGCCCGTGAAACCGCCAAATCTCAGAAGAACACAGAGCCTTCACACGCCTGCCTGCTGGGTAGAGGTCACAGAAACCCAAAGGCGAGTGTGGCTGAAGTTGGTGACTCGTCAGTCTTGGTGTCTGCACACTTGTATACACACACACACTTCAGTCACTTTGCCGATTTCGTAGTCTAACAAAACAAAGGAACATTTGCTGTCCTTGCAGGTGCCAAGTCCCCTGGTGTGAGCCCACTTGTCCCTGCTGTGCCCTAGTGGCAAACCTTCTCTGCCCACAGTCAGAGTCCTGTGCCACGTGCCATTTCCAACTGAGTTATTTCCACTTCTCTTGCTGACTTCAGCATCCCCAGTGTGCCAATGGAGACCCGTGTAGCAGTCAGATGAGCTGGCGTGATGCGAGGATGATAGGACTAGATTGAAGGCCTCAGGGAAGCCGCTGCCTGGCACATTCACTCCTGCTGTGGGTGGGGTTAGCCCTGTTAGTAGTTATTTTTACTCACAGTTGTGGAAGTTGAGTTTTCAGAAAACAGTAAGAGTTAACACTTCTGGGTGGCAAGATGGCTCCGCAGGTGAGTACCTGCTGTACAGACCCAGGGACCTGAGTGCAAGCCTGGGATCTTTCAGTAGGAGGAGAGAACCAACTCCTGAAAGTTGTCCTCTGACCTCCACCAGAGTTTTATGGCCTACCCCCGAACTCCCACAAGTTAACAACTTTTTGCTCTGAGTGTGTGAGAGACGAAGACTGCCTGGGTCACTTAATTCTCAATCCTTTCCTTTTTAAATTTAACATGTAAAAAAATGAACAGAAAACTTCTCCGACAAATCATATGGAATACCTGGCGGTACACTCCGGTTGTCCCAGCTTCTTAGGAGACTAAGACAAGCCTTGCTGATGTCCTGTTTCCAAATTATTTGAATGGCAGGCACTTGCCTAGCACACAAGAGACCCTGGGTTTGATCTTACCACCACCACTGCAATATCAACAACAACAACAACAAAAACAACAATCAAACCCAGTAGGTACTGTTAAAACATGGTCCCAGACCTTTACCCTACACAACAATTTTTTCCAGCATAGAAGACCTTGCTTTCTAAGGCATTCTCTACTTTCCTGATATGTCTGCATCCATCCAGCTAGTGGTGCCCTCTGGTCTGACTAGTTAACATCCGAGGGATGTGCGTGTCTGTAATATTGCTGGGTTTTTGTTGTTCTTAATTAAAATGTTCTTTAAAATCTGTAAGCTTAGGCCAGGTGGTGGTGGCGCATGCCTTTAATCCCAGCATTCAGGAGGCAGAGGCAGGTGGATCCCAGTGAGTTCAAGGCCAGCCAGCCTGGTCTACAATGTGAGTTCCAGGACAGCCAGGACTGTTACACAGAGAAACCCTGTCTCAAAAAACCAAACCAACCAAACAAACAAACAAAAAAACACTGTAAGCTTGAAAACCTCACCTTTTGGAGAAAACTATTTCAGTAAGAGCTCCTCTGTCCCTTGATAAAGAAAAACATGAATAGAATTTGGCACAATTATTGTGCATTGATTTTTTTTTTTACACTAAATTATGTTTCTTTGTGGAGATCCAAGAAACAAAGATGGAATTAAAGGCGTCAGTCTTGAATTTTGCTGAGTGTGACACCCCTTCATTAAGAGATGCAGCCTGATAGAAATCCTCTCCTCTGCTGGTCCCTCCTTTTCCTGTCTTGGGGAAGAGCCATTTGAAAGGACAATTGTTTTCATGGAAATTATTGGTGTCGTTTATAAGCCAACTTACCCATTTGGCACGGTGATAAAAGGGAGCTAGTGGCTTTGCAAATTGAGGAAGACTAGAGCCTTGAAGGAACTGATCATTCATCTTGGCAGGGTTGCGGGTGTGTGGACAGGATAGCAGAGAGAAAATCGTTAGCTGGAATTTATTCAAGTGAGTAGGTTACATTGAGAAGAGGAAGGCAGAACCGAGAGACATCAGTTTACCAGAGACACTAAATGGCTACAAATGGCCAAGTGCCACCATGGCACAGTGATGCTGTAGATGACAGAGCAGTGGGCTCACCAAATGAGTGGGCTCTGGATAGCAGCACCTTGTGCCTGCACACCTGTGTAGATTATCTGCTATGGTCAACATCAGTGTCTCAAAGTCATCATCTGTTTATGTTTCTGAGGACCGGTATCATGACTGACTCCCAGGGATCAGCCCAGGCCAGTCACTATAAATTTAGAAGCTTTTTTTTTTTTTTTTTTACCTTCTTGATTTGAAAAATATTTTGCCAGAATTTTTCTTGGGATTAGCAGTGTTACATTTGTTTTTTTTTTTTTCTTTTGGTTCTTAGTATTAAACCTCCCACACCTTAAACATGTCCTGCTTTAGAGATGCATGCTAACCTCAACAATGTTACAGCTTATTTTAAACTTTACTGTATACTTAAACACTTTTAGTACATTCATCTCTTCGCGTTTATGCATGTGTGCACATGCACATACGTGCTCATGTGCCATAGCATGAATGTGGAGGTCAGAGAACAACTTGCAGGAGTCAGTTCTCTCTTTCCACCATGCAGGTCCTGGGATTCAAACTAGGATTGTCAGGGTTGGCAAGCAAGCACCTTTTCCCACTGAGCCATCTTGTTGGCCCATAACTTCTACTTTAAACTGATCACTCCTATCCAACCCCTTTTCTATTTTTTGAGACATGTTCTCTCACTGGCCTGGAATTCACTACTTCAGCTAGGCTGGCCAGCAAGCCCCAGTGTTCTGCCTATCCCTGACTCCCTAGCTCTGAGACGACAGGCTTGACCATCAAGCCCAGCTTTATGTGAGCTCTGGGGATTGAGCACAGGTCCTCATGCCTGCATGGCAAGTACTTTACCAAGTGACCCACCTCTCCAAACCCAATTTCTTTTTAAGGTCGTGCTTATACCTTCTCCAGTTATTATACATTGTATATGCATTGAGGACCACTGTACCTCATGAATAGAGAGGCAAGCATTATGTGTCAATGAAGTTTTTTTTCCTTAGATTAAAAATATGACTGCATCCAAATAATTTCAATAGGAAGAAGACATTCAAATGCTGTCAATTAAATATATTAAAGCTCAGAATAAAAACAGAGAAGTATTATACATCAGAGTTCTCTAATTGGACACGTTCTGAAATGGGCGAGTATTTGATCAGGGATAGATACAGGGTACTTGTTTAAAAAAAGAAAAAAGAAAAAGAAAAAAGCAGATATAGAAAAGGGTAGATTATTGAATCTACTCTGAAAAGAAAAAAAGGGAAGATACAGAAATGATAAGATAAAAGGTAGATTTTTGAATCTACTCAGAAAAGAAAGAAGAGAGAATATGGATATGATAAGATAAAAAGGTAGATTTTTGAATCTATTTTTAAAAAGGAATTACTTGTTTTAAATAGTATAAGTAATGAAAATTTTTGTCTCGATTTGTCAAATGTTAATGGACTGGACATTGTTAATGTATATAATGGAGTTTTTTGTCTGAATCTGTCAAATGTTAATGGATTAGACATTGTTTTGGTTTTTTGGTTTTGGTTTTTTGTTTTTGGTTTTTCGAGACAGGGTTTCTCTGTGTAGCTTTGCACCTTTCCTGGAACTCACTTCAGAGCCCAGGCTGGCCTCTGCCTCCCGAGTGCTGGGATTAAAGGCGTGAGCCACCACTGCCCGGCCTGAACTAGATATTGTTAATGTAATTCTTGACTGTATATATTGTATATACTTATTGTATATACTTTTTCTTATATTAGTTATAACTTTTTAAATTTTAAACAAAAAGGAGAAATGTGGTTGATATATTGTACACCCCAATAAACTTATCTGGGGGTCGGGAGAACAGAACAGCCACTATATTAAACCTAGAGGTCAGGCAGTTTAATCCTATCATTCCAGAGGCAGAGATCCATCTGGATCTCTGTGAATTCAGGGCCACACTGGAAACAGCCAGGCATGGTGACTCACACCTGTAATCCCAGCACTTGAGATCTCATGTCTTGCTTGGGAAAGACACATGCCTTTAATCCCAGGAAGTGATGGCAGGAAGCAGAAAGGTATATAAGGCGTGAGGACAAGGAACTAGAGGTTTTTAAGCTTTTAGGCTTTTAGCAGCAGTTCAGCTGAGATCCATTCAGGTGAGGACTCAGAGGCTTCCAGTCTGAGGAAACGGGACCAGATGAGGGGTTGTCGAGGTGAAGTTAGCTGTGGCTTGTTCTGCTTCTCTGATCTTTCAGAATTCACCTCAATACCTGGCTCCTGAGTTGTTGGTTTTTTTTAATTAATAAGACTGTTTAAGGTTTGTGTTACAATGGATTGTAACACAAATGTAATGTAATAAAAGAACAATGAAAACAAATACAGATAAATCCATGAAAACCCCTTATGATCGTGTGTGAAGGTGATTGTTAGTCACTGTTGCATCATGGTTGTTCCTCTTTTAGATACCAACAGTGACCTGGTGTCTCCAGTGTGACATTGAATTTGTGTTTGTTTTTATTGCTGCTTAATCGGTCTCTCCTAATCACTCTGTATCCTGTACACTTGAAGAAACTCAAGGTCACCTTCTTTCTGTCTCTCTCTCTCTCTCTCTCTCTCTCTCTCTCTCTCTCTCTCTCTGTCTCTCTCTGTCTCTCTCTCTCTCTGTGTGTGTGTGTGTGTGTGTGTGTGTGTGTGTGTGTGTGTGTGTGTGGTGGTCTCATCAGTAGAGGGACTGGCACTGTACGTTCTCACTAGTACATCATCCTGTCTGGTTGAAGAGATGGGGCCCTTTGCTTCTGCCTAAAGCAGTTGCAGGACCCCTCTGCCATCACCCATGCTGAGATCAGCTTAGTCCCCAGTGTTCTGACCATTTCTTGTTGTATTGGCGAAGGATGAAGAAAGAGAGAACATTGCGTAGACAAATTTAGCACATGAAATTGGCCACAGGAGCAACCACTGTCAAAGTTCCTGGTTTCTTGTCCTGTTAAGGATTATGAATGCATGCACATTTTCAACTATGGTCCTATAGACTGTGGGCTATCTCCACCACCACGTGTGTGGTCAGCAATCTCTGACATTTAATGTCCACAGAGATCATGCCAGCCATCCCATGAGCAAGGCTAGGAGTAATTGACTCAAGATGCCCGCTAGTTCGTCTCCTCTGCCATGTGAACTATTCGAAAGCAAGGCTCAGTGACTTATTCTCCATGTGGCATCTTGAGGGTATTGCACAAGGAGACACAAGCTTCAGTATTCAAGAGAACTGTGGATGGTTCTGTCCTACTGAGAAATCTTTCCTGCAACTCTCTAGTTCCCACCCAGTGGTTTTGTGCCCTTCCCTTGGGACTTTTTTTTTTTTTTTTATTGTCACTAGTGAGCGATGTCCTAATACTGATGTAGAAATGCCGCTTGGGGTTACAAAAGGGAGAACAGTTGGAGACAATGAAGGGTGAAAATGATCAGGTAACTAATGATTTGCAGTTGGTCTTCAATGAAAGTGCTGACAAGAATTATTGTAGGAAGCTACTAAAATGTTAGCGACTCCATCTCACTCATGAGGGGCCCTTTAATGGATACATCATGGCATGTTGGCTCTGTAAAGATTCTAGGTTCTCAGTATTACATTCCTTGCCATTGTTGGATTTCTGAGCTGATGGGGCATTTTGCCTCTTTATTTTCAAAACATCTTATGCATCATGAACACAAATCTTAATTTCTACTATTTCAGTATTTCCATCCTTCCTTTGTTGAAATATAGTTGGTCATCATAAGTGATGCCCGGCAGACCCAGCTGGGAATTTCCTTTTGTCGAGGTGGGCATAGCCCTCCTTGAAATATTTGTGCTCTTGACTTTGAGATTGTTTTTAATGGCTGTATAACAAGAGTTTTCTTTCTGTAGGGTATTTTCCCTGAAACGTACATCCACTTGAAAGAGGCAACTGTAGAAGATGGAGGGTAAGTTCCAATCCAGGAAGACCACTATAAAGTGATGAAGATGTGAGATGACCGTGAAAGAACATCCTACACCCATTGATGTCCTTCTCCTGTCATTGGTTTCTCTTGCCTCATATAGTTCCTCTTTCTGTCTTCTCTTTCTGTACTTGTTCCTCCTGGACGCCCTTCCCCAGAATAGTAAAGACAGCAGTGGTGAACTCTGAGGGCCTTCCACTTCCCCTCCGAGTTCCTAACTGCTCACTGTGTATGTGAATGAGTCCATGTGAACCTCCGGGGAAGGGGGACGTCAGTCTGCCCTCCTCAACTCTCAACCTTGAACATATCACTTAGTTGCAAGTACCCCTCAGAGTTTTCACAGCTTCCTGGAGGAAAGCGCTGGTGGTGGGCTTGGGGTGAGATACCAGGGAAGCAGTGTATGGGGATGTGCTGTGTTGTTCAAATCCATTCAGTTTCGAGTACTCATTTCTTGACCATGTCATTTGTCCTGCAGAGTACTGACTCTGTGGCAGCTAAGGAAAACAGGACACTCGAAGTAGGAAGAGAGAATTAAGAAAGGAAAACCTTGACTCCATGGCTGGTGCCAGGGAGGCTGTCACAGAATCCTGGAACCTCTAAGCTAGATGAACATCTTTGAGAAGACATAAGCTTAGCACCCCCATTTTAAGACAAGAGGTAGAGGCATGCTTAAGTTCTCGCAGATCGTCTATAGCAGAACCAGCACTAGTAACTATTCTCGCCCACCTCCTCAAGGAATCCTCTTCCCAGTGGGCCATTCCTGGGCAGCCTCCAGATGTCACTTGTGAAGGCAAAGTAGGAGCCCTGTTCTAACTGGATCTGCCAGGTGAAAGATGGAATGCTCAGTTAACTGTTACTCAGTCAGCAGATAGATACAGATGCTCCTGGACTTGGGGTTATGTCCTTATAAACCTACCAGAGTTAACAATGTCACAAGTAGGCACCACAGGAAAGTCCATCATTTTATACAATTAATATATGCTAATAAAAAAGAACAACAAGAAATGCATCTATTTCACCTAACATAACCTCGCCCAGCCACCTCCAGTGTACTCAGAACACTTATGTTAGCTGACAGTTGGGCAAAATCATCTAACCCAAAGCCTGTTTTAGGATAGGGTAGCATAGTCTTCATGTAATATGTTCAATACCGCAGAAGTGAAAAGCCAGCACCTGGGAGTGTAAACTTCCCAGCCATCTTAGAGTTGCAAAATCAGACTCTCCTAAGTCGGGGACCACCTGTAACTTTCCAAAGCTAGCATGTCACATTTGCCCTAATGTATTGCCTTACTTGACCTGAAATTCACACTTCGCTCCATCCTGTGTTTGCATGTTCGCATGGTGGTCCTCTTGCTCTGTGTGTTTGTATGTCTTTGCTATCTTTCTCCTGTTGATAATTGTAGGAACTCCAGGGATAATTTATGTGAGTAAATGCAGTTAAGCCTACTGAGAGTGAGGATGTTGGCTTGTTTCCATTTTCTATGCTGGGAAGCAACAGATGAGAAGAAGACCCAGTCCTTTCTAGAAGAGGGCATGGATCAATCCGTGCAAACAGATCTTTGAGTGAGATCACATGCCATGTAGCTCTCTACAAAATGGAGCAGCTGCCCAATTGAACCAGCTGTTACAGAGCTTGGTCATTGTCACTTTCAGAGAGATTTAACATGGGGAAGTAAAGTCTAGGCTTAGCCTTTGCCATGCAAAAACTCAGTTTAGTTTATAGATTGTGCTGTTCTCAGTTCCTTGCATTTTGGCTCATGTTTACCTGTGTTCAAGTTCTCCAAACTTTACAGCCCTTCAGAGGCAGATCGATTTATTTCAAACCACAGCAGCCACATTCCTGCCTTTGATTGTCAAGAGTATGTTGGTTGGGAGAGGCAGCTCCTATCATGTGCAGTAAAGTGTACATCTCTTTGATTTCCTATAGGCAGCATGAAACTGTGATTCCTGGGGAGTTGCCGCTGGTTCAGGAACTCACGAATACTCTACGAGAATGGGCCGTCATCTGGCGCAAGCTCTATGTGGTAAGCTTCTCCTGGGGCTCCCCTAGTGGTGGTCTTGGGTGCCGTTTCTGGACCCTCAGTCTGACTGTTCAGACTGCAGAGCCATCTTCTGCATTGAGCGGGATGAGCCTTCCCTAGAGCCCACGATGCTGGAAGCCAGCTGATTCTCATTTCCCCAGAGTTGGGCCACTGATAAAGAGATTATAGAGGGAAGTGGGTGTGATCATAATTCACTCTTGCTGATTGTGAAAGTAATAATGAGTTATAAATGCAAATGTTCACCAAGGCCTTCTTGGGTGCCTTAAACCATGAACCCTCACCAACCACATGGCTATAAAAAAGATGCAGTTACATCTGTTACTATTCTAGCCGAAACCCAAAGCACTTGCTGTTAGCATCTCTATCTGTGCCAACAAATAGACATTTATAAACACCATAGTGCTCAGCCTTCTGAAGAGGGCATTTATAACCATGACCATTGGACCTTGTAGACTCCGAACCATGTATAGTGGGTAAGCTGAGGTCAGGCTCACTTAAGTATTCTCTCTCCCTACTGTTTTGACCTCAGAATGTTAATACAAAATGCTAGTTCAGTGGGAAATCGCATAGGCACAGGAGTATTCTCTGTGTGACAACCATTATTATGAGTTGTATGTGTGCTTACAACTGGGACTTTGTGGTTTAAACATAATCTGTCCCTTCTGAAGTTCATGTTAGAGTTGAATTCATTGGGAGGCATTAAGAGGATGAAGGCTGGGACCAAGAAATGGCTCACCAAGTAAAGGCACTTGCATCCCAACTTGACAACCTTAGTTGAATCCTCTGGACCCACATGATGGAAGGAAAGAGCCAACTTCTGTCCGTCGCCCTCTGACTTCCTCGCGCACATTGTGGCATGCATGCCCTGCCCCACGTGAAAAAATAAACAGAATTAGGAAAGAAAATCTTACAAGGGTGGAAACTTAATCCCGTTGTAGTGCTTAGCGGAGAAGACTTGGGAGCTGGGTGGTGAGGAGACTATAAGAACATTAACATGGAGGCTCATGATGGAACTCGTGTGGCTTCATATGAAGAGGGAGAGAGCCCAGAAGACACATGTGCAAACTGTGTGTCTCACCATGTGCTAGTCTCTGCCAAGAAAGCCATTGCCACATTAGCCCCTTAGCTTTGCTCTAAACTAAGCCAGGGGGCATCTTCTCTTTAAACAAAGCTACCCTGCAATGCCAGGACTAGGGCCTGGGACTCGCAGCATTCAACATCATCAGAATAGAAACGGCTATTTTTTGCAAGTGCACAAGACACTCAAAGTCCATTGCCAGCATGGCGGACTCTTCTCCAGTCTAAAAAAGCTTCCCTTCAACCTGGAACCCACGGACTAATGTTGCTTCTCGGGAGACCTTACTGGTGAGCACCAGTGAGTCTCGCCTATTTAGGGGACTTCCAGGCTTCTGTGGGTGACAAGGAAGTCATATGGTGAGTAATATATTCTCTGACTAGACATGTGAAGAAGTTCATGAGTCTAGATAGCTGGACCCCGGAATCATTCTCTTTTCTTTATGTGGCCAGTCTGACTAAGTTACAACGATACCCCCATTCTTGTCCTTGCATACTAAAGCAGTAACCAGACCTCATTCCAACGCCAGTCCTAAGAGTTCACACAGGATTTCATTCCATTCAGGGCTGTGTATTCCAGGATAAATCATAACCTTAGAAATCACCAACCCTTTGTGGGTAAAGCACGTGGCACTTCTCTGCCTACCCAACCTCAAAGCCTCATTTGTGTCCTTTCTTTTTCATAATGTGTCTTCTAAACAAACTGATCCTTAATGTTCCCTTCTGGACCATCGAACACTTACTGCTGAATGCATGGTCTGGCCCTTGGGACGTTATACCCATATTGAAGGTGGTCTTTTGATCTCTTCAGACTTAGTTGATGAGAGCACTAACTCTGAGCCCCTAAATCACGCACTCTGGGAAGGGAAGGATACGGCTGTCATTCCTGTGGCCTCCATTGATCAACTTGTACTTACATTGAAAGCACTCCCATTCTGGTTAATTGATTGCTTTGTGGTGGATATAGAGAGTTGATGGGTGAGAAATTGCATGGACATGGGCTTATTCCTTAATGTTCTTTGTGGAAATTGTTGAGTGGAGAAATGTATGAGGTAAGTGCAGGCTGAGTATGCTGCACTGGCTACGTTCTGATGTTGTAATGAAATACCTGAGGGAGAGCAGCTTACAAAGAAAGGAGACAGCTTTATACCATAGTCCTTGAGGCTCAAGGGCCTGATGATAGGAGTTGGTTCAACTCTGGCAGGTACCTTATGGTGTATGGTGTCACAGTAGCAGTAGCTTATGTGAAGGAACACTCAGATGGCATGAAGGGAAAGCAGAGCATGGAGAGGCACCTCATGTATGAGAACCCTCTCCACATACCTAATGAGGTTGGTGCTTCCAGTACCCTCTCGCTAATCTCCACTCCTCAGGATCCTACTACCTCTTAACATTGCCATGCCAACCATCCAGCACCTGACTCGAGCTGCGTCATAGGCAAACCATGGGCATTCCTGATCTAAAATTCAAGCATCCAAAATGCTCAAAAACTCAAAGCATTCTGAGCACATGCATGATAACACATGTGGAAAAGTCTGTCCTACCCCTGGCCTCTCGTGTGAAGCTTCCTGTCTGTACAAAAATTACCTTGAGACTGTGTTAAATTCTGTTGAGACCGTTGTTGCTGAAGGCAGAGATGAATCATAGACAAATTTCATATTTAGACTTACGTACCATCCCTAGGAGAGCTCATTAGGTCTATGTAAATATTTCTTTAAAAGTTGAAAAACAAAAACCAAAAAACAAAAACCTTCTCACATCCCAGGCATTTCAAATCATTTCAAATAAGGGGTCCTCACCCTGTGCTTTGGAAGGAGTTTTTGTTCCTGTTGTTTGTGTCATGTGTAAGTACAGAGAAGGTGACTAAAAAGACCTTTTCTGTCTCTCTAAGAGATGACTTTATGGCTCGTTTTCTTCACTGTGTCCTCTTGTAACCACACATGATCAAGACATGTTTTCCAGGGAAAAGAACTAAGAAATAGGGTGGGAAGTGTAGCTCAGTGGTAGAGTGCTTGCCTGGTGTGCATGAGGCCCTGGGTTCCATAGCCAGACAGACAGACAGATACAAGCAGAGAGAGAGGGGTGTGGGGGGGGGGGGAGAAGAGGAGTGGGGAGAGGGAGGGAGAGAGGGGGAGAAACAAGAATGAGGAAATAGGACCGTGTACCTGTCCTGTCAATGCCCCACCCCCAACCCCAGCAGTTCCAGGGTGATGGGCTGATAAGCACTTTTGAACATTTCCTTTGTGAGCCCCCATCTACCCATTTAGTAGCAGAATTGAGTTTTAAGTGCAAAGCCTAGTGAATTAATTGATTTTTTTTTTAAGTTCTCTCTCAGAGGACAGCACTTTTTTTTTTCATCTTAGAAATCTGACAAGATAACTTGTAAACACCTTATAGCTGCTACTGATTGCTGTAAAAAGGCCTTGATGATGGGCAGTATTTAGTCATTGTCTGTTCCATGGTCTGATTCTGTTCTAGATACCTGCTTATCCACTGAGGAGCAATCCACAGCAATGAGTTTGTTATTAGTCACCTGGCTCCCCAAGCTCCTTTCCCAAGGCATTGACAGTTCATCTCAGGCAGAATTTCTGATTTTCTTTCTCATGTTAAAGTAGTAAACCTCACATCTCCTGTTTCACTGGGAAGTATTAAAAGGGAAAAACCCTCTAATCTCTAGTTTCCAAGTCTCTCCTCCCCAGATGTGTTTTAGCATTTTGTTTTGGGATTCTGCACATGTGTTTCTTTATTCTACATAAACATAAATGTGGGCTCTGCCAGCATACATTAATACACTACTACGTTCATACTCCCATCTATTTCCTCCCATAGCTTAGTATTTTAGTTTGTAGTTCTGGGGATTGAACCCAGGGCTCTGTACATGTTAGGCAAGGACACTACCACCAAGCTACATCTGCAGGAATTCCTTCTCTCAACTTTGAATCAGGCATTCTGAGTGATGTTGTTAACTACCTCCAGGATGCCCCAGGAACTCTGTATCTCTCTATGCTTCCTGGGTATTCTGAGTGACGTTGTTAACCACCTCTAGGATTCCCAGAAACTCTGTGTCTCTCTGTGCTTCCTGGGTATTCTGAGTGAATGCCCCAGGAACTCTGTGTCTCTCTATGCTTCCTGGTTCTGCTCATTTCTGTCTGGTGTCATTGGACATTTACGTTGTTGATCCAGTGTTTTCTAGGAGGGAGAAATGCAGCCCACTAACCGTAAGCCCAGCCATGAGGTCACTGGATTATTCCAGAAATGTTTGTCCCTTGGTTCTAGAAATTATAAAGTGTGAAACCGTCAGAAATACCTCACAATGGGGAGGGAGACATCCATATTGAGGAGATGGGACCCCTCATCCAGAGTGGAGAGAAGGTAGAGGCTGCTTGTCCCCAAGAGCCTCCCCCACAGTCCCTCTCTCCTCCTGAGAATATGTTACTGATCTTATTTCAACTGTCTTTCCTGGTAGATGTTGACCTTATGCTATGTGGGGAAAACAAGCTGTAGGAGCCCAACGCCCCTGTTAACTGAGAAACAGGTTTTCCCCTGCATGCCATGTCCAAATTAGGTCTGTGATCTTAAGCAAATCATTCAGAATCCCCAAACTTCTGCAGGATTTTGACACCTTGTAAAAGTGATACAGAGTGATACAGAATTTTGTTCCCTTTCTGAGTACGTATTTTCATATCCTATCTTCATGAAGCCGTGGAAGCATGAAAAAGGACTGTGGCAATATCATTGTGTGTACAGATAGTAGGTCAAGGACTCCACCAGAGCAAACCTGTGATAGTTAATACTGTCCCAGCTGGAAGTAGTAACCACAGTCGATGGCCCTCCCACTGGACAGCCTTGACTCAGAGCTTCCCTCTCACCAGCTGTGACTGCCAGGAACACGGGAGCTGCTTTCTGTG